ATATATATATATATATATATATATATATATATATATATATATATATCCCTTTTAAAACACTTAATTTTATCATGTCACATTTAAAATCAAAATTATATTAACTAAAAAAGGATGTATAATATTATTTGCTTATCGTGCTTTTCGAAAGTAACGCATGTACATTTTATCACGGTTGTAATACAAGCAGAGAAAGGAACGACGAAACTGAATAATCGTAAAACACGTGTCATCTCTCAGCGGGTGTTCTTCGATTCATCCCCTCGAGGAGACCGGTTTTTAATTTACCCACCGGATAACCAGTGATCATACGATATTTAAGAACTTGAAACTGAAACTTTTTACTTTTTAGAGATGATGTGCATGTAATTCCCTTTAGTCGGTATATCTCTTTCAGGCAACAATGAATAAGAAGAAGAAAGACATTTTCGAAGACGTACATTTAAGAATGAAATAAAAACATGTACTGAAATATTTCTCTTTGAAAAAATTGGAATAATAAAAGAACAGATTTAATTTACAATTAAAAGCAAACTTAGAAAATTTTTACTAATCATTCATATATTATATAATCAATGATGAGCAAAATTTAATAGTTGAAGTTACGAATAAAATCATTTGGATAAATTACTTCAATAATTTATTGTTCAAAACATAATAATAATCGCTAAATGGCTTGAGATTATATGAAAAGCGGATCGATTATAATAGCGACGAGTAAACGTTATTCAAACATTTTAATAAGTAATTATTTAAAATAATTTTATTCGAAATTCTTAACTAATCACTTTTTCAACGGGTTAATACCCAACCAATGGGGTTATACCCTCTGACTATAGTTGACCTTTTCTTCGATGCTTTGAATAATAAATTATTCAAGTCATTTATTCAAATAATATAATCGTTTTGAATAAATTTTAAGTAATTACTTATTAAAATGCTTGAATAAAACTCGTAGCTATTATATAGTTTAACTCCTCGCATAACCTCGTCCATTTGCCATTAGTTGTTTGTACACCTTCGTTTAACCTCAATCGTTAAAATCTTGCCCACCTTTGTTATATAAACTCGTTAACTTTTTTTTTTAACGTAACTTCGTCACGTTTGAAATACGATTGACATTTGATTCATTTCGAGAGAAACAGATACACCGTTCTTGCTTAACCTAACCTAACTTAACCTAATCCATCCATTGTTTTATTCATTGAACGTCGCCCACGCGTATCCGTTATAATCGAATACGAATTTACGACTGGTTCACGAATAATTCTCCATTGCATTGTCTAAAAAAGGATTTACCTTGGGTAGGCCAGAACTTGGCAGCAGCGGTGTGGGAAGGTACTTTGTGAGGACATTTGAAGCCGACTATTTCCTCCGGGTTGCAGTAGGGCAACAGTTGATCGGGCCAGACGCAATTATGACTCTTCGCGTCGTAAACCAATCCTGCGTCGCAATGATCCTCATTGGGATGGCCATGAGCACATCTGATGTAGGTGGTGCTGCAGGCGTCGCTCGCAGGGTAAAGGCCGAATTGATACTCGCATCCAGGACTGCTGATCGGGGTCACTGGAAAATAATTTTTTTTTTTATTTTTTCTTATTGCGAATTCATTCTCGATATTTATTAACATTCAGTTCGAAGCGAGAGAAATCGATATGCCTTCTTATATGAATGTTTTAGCTAGGAAAAAGTTAGTGATGATTTTTATCGATCGAGAGAAAAGTTTTGTATAAATAGAATTTCTGAAGTGAAGATAAATAAAGTATCGTGTATTTGTATATCCTGAAAAAATATATATATAATTATTTAAAAAAGATTGAAACACAATATATATATTATAAATTACAAATAAGAAAATATATCATACATTTATTGTAAAGAAAAATTGAAACGCAATATCAAATACGTATATGCGAAACACATGATACGAAAAGAATTAATCAATTTATAATTTCTTGTTCACTTATTTGACTTATTTAAAAACAAATTTGTAAATAATAATTGTCGAGTGAAAATAAAATTTTTGAAAGTAAAAGTGATCGTTGATTATATTTTAATAAAAAAACCAATCGTTAAATCGTTTTACCAAACAGGTATACACACAAAAAAGAATGTCGCAATAACTGAACACAATTTATTTGACGGCAAGTTTTTATAACGAATTGACGCGACCCAGTAAAACGCCGTAAACGTTATTAAATTTCTTCCTCCATCCGACTTTTACTCTTTTACTATAATATAAATTTTTTACACCTTTCTATATTTCCTCTCAAATAGTGATGGGTAAAATTTAATAGTTGAAGTTACGAATAAAATTACTTCGATAAATTATCTTAATAATTTATTGTCCAAAAACATAATTGCAAATAATTGTAATCGCCAAACGGCTTGAAATTATATGAAAAGCGGATAGATTATTACAACCATTAGTAAACGTTATTCAAGCATTTTAGTAAATAATTACTTAGAGTAATTTTATGCCCAACTCTATTCTCAAACGATAAAACTATTATCGTATATGAATGTGAACATTTCTTTTATTGTTTATCGCGAGAAATGCATCGAATAATATATTGAATAATTCGAATAACGCATCACTTTTGCAAAATGCTAAATCAAACTGCAATATCGAAAAGTTTTTTAAAAATATTCGACAAATTCATCTTAATGCCAATATTAATTAACGTTAATATATCTTCCAAAGGATTTTTTTACTTATCACCAAACATAATTTGAAATTAATCTTTTTATCTTCTTTCAGAAAATTTTCAAAATGATATTATTTTTCAAAACATAAAACTATTAAGTATATGAAGTATATCTCAAAAATATGGCAAGATTAAATGAAATGAAAGTATTTCTGAGATAATTTCAACCAACATTCTCCTTTGCAAGAAAATTCATTAAGGCATTGTTAACGAGTTATTAACGAAAAAAACGCAGGCCAATCACGGAACGCGTTGCCTAGTCGAGCCGCGATGGTAGCGTTGGCTATATACCGCCGACGAGCACGAACAAATCCAAGTAATATGTGTCGAAAAAAATATTTAAATATAATATAAATATTTTTTTATTTAAAATTATATTACATTATCATATCAGAAACGATAAATAAATTATAATACTCAATATATGTTCCTTAGACTTATTAATGCTCAGTCGACGGTACATACCCAACGCTACCGCTCGACTAGGTTACGCATTCCGCGATTGGCCAGTGTTTTTTGCCAATAAACTCGTTAACAAAATTATCTCTATAAGAATTTCCAGTTAACCTGGATTTAATATTTTTATTTTTGAGACACCCTCTATATTTCAAAGCGTTGATAGATCGAGTTGGAAAGACAAAACCTTCACACTCTTATATACACATATAGCATTGTGACATTGCGATTATCGAGAGCGTAACAAGATACTTACGGTCAGCCTTGCGATCCCCGCACTGGACGGCCCAGTGATAGTTGCAGTGATCGTGCACGGCGCCATGCCCGTCGAAAAGTAATCCGTTCTCGCAGTGCTCGAGGGTCAGGGTGCCGTTCGTGCAGAGAAAGAAGGCGTTGCAATTCTCTGGGTGGGCATACGCGAAAACTCCGTGAGGGTCGGGGCACGGTGGCGCCCCCAAAAGGGTAGTCGCCTCGACTGTATGTCGAAAAAATAGGAAAAAATGGTATAACATAAATCGCGAAGGTATAAATCAAATCGTGTATATATTGTAGAATTAAAAATATGCGTAATGAAAATTAAAAATAGGAAGTATAGTTGGTAAAAAATAGTAGGTATAGGAAAAATATTTAACAAAACCAGGTTAAATTTATATCCTTCGAATTTCGAAAAAAAAAAAAATAGTTTGAATATTAAAATATTGAAATGCGTTACCTTGAGAGAAGTGGATGGTAGAAGGAGCATAAGATTATTCTTAACGGGCAAAAAGATAGAGAAAGCGAGTCAAGGTTGCAGACATTCAATAGAAAAAAAAAAAAAACGCGAAGATTCGTGATTTCGATTTGGTAGCAAAAAAAGATGCAACGTCGAAACAACGGAACGCTTCGACGAATGGAAAGCAATCGCGATGGAGGAACAAATAAGTAAAAACGTAATTTGGCGGAAACCGCAAATTGCCGGTGGTCGAAGCTGATCGAGAAGTTTAATGGAAAAATGCTACAAATTCTACCAAATAAATACGAAAAAAAATATATACAACTAGGGAGAAAAAATGTTATAGCAAAAGAGAAACTAATATTGTGTTTTGTCTATATTGATCGCGTGAATTCGAGATATTTTGTTGACGCGCGAAAGTAACATCTGTGGCGTTTTGTTTACGTTCGAGTTTGTTGCGTAGAACAGGAGAGGAAGAGTCGCCAGTCGACCTTGGATAGCTTAATGGTTAGAGAAGTCGTCCGGAAGATCTGACCAATCCAAACAATCGATTTTTTTCCTTCTTCTACACACGAATCTTGAACAATTCGATGGAAACGAGCATCCAAATCATGAATATTGATGAAAACATGTAGAAAAGTATCACTTGCGTAAATCTAAAATATTGAATCTCAAATTCCTTCAGGCGAGGTGACAAAGATAGTACGCATTAAATACACAGATCGAAAAAGACAACGAAGAAGATATGAAAATAATATTTAAAGAAGAATAAGAAAAGCGATAGCGTGCCGTGCCGTCTGAATGGCGCGAACATGAATAATACATCTCTTGTAAATCGTGATCGTCGATGTATATGTTGGTATAATATAACAAGGCATGCAAACTCGGTAGCAATGATGGGAAAAATTTAACGGTTAATTAAGTTACTTTAATGAATTCTTCGAATAATTTATTATTCAAAACATCGAACATTACGTTAGAAATATCGGTCTGTAATATATTTATCTACCTATTTCACATATAAATCATCAAAATAATTAAAATAATATCATGAAAATAAATTACGTATATCTAATTTCTATATCGATAAATAATATATTAATTTTGTCAAAAATTTAATCTTCAATAATCGTAAAAGAAAAAAATATAAAATTTGAATAATTCGATTCGTTCTGAATTGTTCGATTAAGAATAACCTTATTCCAAATTTTAACCAATTAATTTTTCAGCCAACTGTGCTCGGTAGACAGGCTCCGCCATTATATCATAGGTCGGCTCGACTCAACCATATGGCGAGAGGAGGTGAAAGCTATTGAAATTGTACAAAATGGATGTCGTAACACGAGGGAACGATCGAATCGAGACGCCTGTCGGGATGCAACCCGGAGAACGGTCGATGCGCTTCTCGAGATGCATCGCGGGGCATCCATTCGTAGAGGAGTAGGTTTCGTCACGAGGACAACTCGTCGAGGAATACTGGTGAAGGTGATCGATTCGACCGAGACAGAGGGGGAGAGAGAGAAAGAAGAGAGGAAAAAAAATAGTTACCTGAGAGCAGAAAAGGCAGCAGGGCCAATAGGGTCACGCTCCTCCGATGCTCGATCATAGTGCTCGTTCGGTCTGATCCTCCACTCGGGTCGACTCTGACTACTGACACTTAGTTACCGACCTCGGAACAGAGAGCTTCTCCCTTCACTTGCTCGGTATAGTTGCTCTCTGGTTACCCCACCCGTGTACCATCGGTTCTCCGATTCGATTTCTTCGTGCAGCTTCGGTGAACCGAACCGAATGAAGCCGAGCGAGCTGAGATTTTGAGATCGACGACTATTTTGAAAAAACGAAACGAGGGGAAAGCAGAATGTTTTCTTTCGTCTATAAATTCGATAGAAATTTCGGAAAAAAGGAAACTTTTTTTTTTTCGTTTATCTTCGATAAAAATTTTGGAGGAAATTTTTTGTCTGCTCGATATTTTGAAGAAAAGGAAACTTTTTTTTTTATTTATCTTTTTTATTTATCAATAGAAATTTCGGAATAAAGAAAATTTTTTTTTCGTTTATTTTCGATGGAAATTTTGGAAAAAAGGAATTTCTTTTTTATCTATTTTCGAGAAAAATTTCGGGAAGAAAGGAAATTTTTTTTCTATCTTATGTATTTATATATATATATATATATAAAACTATGAAATGAAAATTTTAAATAGTTGAAAGAAGAAGAAACTTTTTTTTTTTTTTTTCGTATGAAATGAAAATTTTAAACTTACCCTTTAAGCGCGATTTAACGTTATAAAAAATAATTGCACAACCAGTGGAAAAAGAACCAGCTTTCACGCAACCGCATTGACATTTTGGAAAATTAAGAGTCGATAACCTATAGTTATGCCTCGCGTAGTTGCATGACAATCATCAAGGATTACATAACGGAAAAAGAAAAAATATTTTTTTCCATCGTGGATCGTAAACGCGATGATATTTCGTTACTCGTTAAATAAAATCTTAAAATTGAATGTGAAATACCTTGATAATATGCAAAATTGATAAATTAAGGTTTTGTAACATCACGTAATTTCACATTTCCTCCTTGTTAACATTTTGATGCGCATCCCGTAATTAACGCGAAGCAAAATTTATACACGCGAGTTATTCCAGTTTTATAATTAACTTGCATCAGATGCAATTTCGGTATGTTGATTGCTTGGATAATTTCGATTAAGTAAAATAATTAATACACCTTTGCCGCGGTGTATAATCAAACAATGTGCAATCGACTTGTCTTCGATCTATTCGTAATAGAAACGCGATATTAGGCTCGTTAAGAAGTTAATGCCAAGTTAATGCCCTCAACGACTGTATCCAATAAGAATACTAAATCTGACTCAGCCATTAATCGATTATTCCTTATTACAAAACCATCCACTTATTATTCTTAAAGAAAGAATTTCTAAATCTAATCCAGCTACAATAATCTTCCTATTCTCCTATTCATAAATCTGTTTCGTTTGTACAATCGGTAAAGTCGTTGTTAACGCGTCGGCCAATCATTTAAAAATACCTCAGACGTGTGTACACATCTCGAATATACGATTTGTCCGATGCGCAAGCGCACGTACAAGCGTTATCCCCTCGAGGCTTTGTCCGTATTACGTGTTACGCAACGATCGTGCTTGGAGCAACGGCTCCCGTTCTTCGATGGAACCAGATCTGCTCGGCGTGGATAGTGAAAGCCGACGAATACCGCTCGAGATCTCTGCGGCTGCTGATCCGCGTTATGAACCGGTCGAATACGTCACGGTCATGTCTCTGATCGATGGCCAATCGAGCGGTTTCTGTCTGGCCAGTGTATCCTCGGCATCTCGACGATTCTTCCTTCGATGATTAACGATCGATATATAACACAAGTTCGTTCGTTCGTTCGTTCGTTCGTTCGTTCGTTCGTCTTTCTTGATGAATTGAAGAGGTAATAGACGTATTATGCAACGCGAGGGAATAATTTGAGTTTGATTATTGAAATAAGTAGAGTAGTATGAAGTACGGATAGATTTCACAATTTTTCAACAGCGAAAAGTAGTCTCGGGAATTGTTTCATCGAGCACATCGTAAATTACGTAAAGAGAAAGGTTGCAATCAGGTGGATTAAGCGAAATTGTTCGAAACTGTTGTTGTGGAATGGTATTATGAGCGGTTTGTATTGTATTCAAACGGGATCAACTTTTTTTTTTTGTTTCGCGATTATTTAATAACGTCTCTTTGTATGCAATCAATCTGCCTGGAAAGAGAAACTGAATTATTATTCGGTTAATAATTGAGCGAGACAATTTTTCGTTCGTTTGAATTACATTTACATAATTGCGATTCTTTTTATCAAGCGTGAAATTCTTTATACTTTTCTATGGCGAACTTTTAATAACTCGTGGTTATTGATCTTTTGTACGAGAACAAGCCGCAGAACGAAGTTGTCGGGCGCAATAAATTTCTGTAGTGTCCGTTTACATAAGGAGAAAGGTATAATTATCGTGGGAGGTGTATGCAAAGGCCACTCATTTACGTAAGTATATCACGGGTTTATTGTTCCTAAATGTAAAAAAAAAAAAAAAAAAAAAAAAAAAAGAAAGAATTAAGCGTCACAGACGTATCGCTGTAGTAACTGGCACCTTGTCTTTAATTAGTTTTTGTTCTTGTAGTAATCCTCGCTGGAACAAGACAAAACGGCGAAGATCACAATTTTTGTCTGAATTTAAATGTATAATTTATGTTAATTTACGTTTCTTCGTCTCCATTGCTGGCAAAAAAATTTTCGACCACCTTTCTTAAAAATAGAATATTCATAATACAACTATTTTTAACTATTAATTCGAACTACTGCCACTACTACCTTTTAGAAGGATCGTGTAAAAAAATTTTTCGAAAAAAATTAAATGAAAAGTTAAACGATACTTTTGTAAATTTGCGTGCTGATATAATTTCGAAGAAACTGATATAAAAAATATACTGAAATTTACAAAACAAAAAATGATCGATTACTTTTTGCCAAAAACAATAAAACAAGCGACGTCGTATAATAAAAATCGATCTTCTAAGAAGAAGATTACTTGTTATACTTTTTCTTTAAAAAAAAAAAAAAAGAAGTCTCACCATCCGGGAACGCTGTCAGGATCCATACATTTGAAGCTGTCCTCGCTGTAAACGGTGCCAGGCTCGCACTGCCCTTTCTGGGGGACAACGCCATTCTTGCAGATGTAGAATTTGGCGCAGTCGTCCGGATGAGGATAAGTCGGATGGGGTAGAATCCTGCCGAGCGGGCCGGGCACGTCGCCGTCAGGGCAAACGAAACCGTCGTCGAGGACGTCCCTCTTCACGTTCTCGCACAGCCTGCTTGCGTCGGCCGGCCACACGCAACTCGACATTTTGTCCTCGTAAATGAGGCCGGGTGGGCAGGGCATCGTCTGCGCAACACCGTCGATGCAGTTCACGAAACGATCGCACGCGGTTGGATCCTCGTGCTTGAAGTAGCCGTTGGCGCGGGGGCATCCTTTGCTCGGTTGTGGCTCCTCTGCGAACAACAATATCTCAATGAGTATGAATGAATTTTCGAATGAAGATTTCAATATGGAATATAAACTCGTGAAATAAATTGTCAGAATAGATTATGAAGAAGAAATGGAAGAATGAAACATCTCCTCTTTGTAGTCTTTGCATCTACTTTCAGGAGAAATTAGCATGTAAATTTATTCGAGCGATATAAAAAGATGGCGGGAAATGAAAGAGGAATAATAAAGCGAGGAGGAAGATTAAAATCTGAGAGGCAATTCGAAGCGAGGAGTTTCGCCGATGGAACCGGTTCGTTATAATTTATCGCATCCTTCTCTCCGGCTCTAAATCTAATCGTCATTCTTCGAACGTCCGTTCGATTCGCGCGGATTATACGAGATCCGAATTCCATTTTTATATCGATCCCTTCTCGACGTGGAAAACGTCGAAAATTTTCGCGATTCGATTCACGTAGGAATTTCTCGAAAAACAGACAATGTGACCGGAATATACTCGCGATCGAGTACACAGTAACTTTCACCATCGGTCTCGCATAAGTTCCAACAGCGTCCAAGCTCTCCAACGTGTCTCAAACGATACTCGTATCATTCATTTCCCTGTTGCTTCTTCTCCGCCAAATAAAGCGAACCGCTCGTTATAACGCACTTCCTTCGCGTACCTTCGAATGATTTCGACTGTGATTAAAAAAATTAGAAAAAAATTCGACAAGATGAAATAGTGCAACTTACGAAGCAGAGTTCTGTCCCCGCAAGGCACGTTGGCCGGGATGTCGCACAGCTCCTTCTTAGGGTTGTCGTCCCTGAACACGAGCCCATCCTTGCAAAGCTTCTCCTCCGCTTTGCCGTCCACGCAGGCGAAGTAGAGGTCGCACTGTTCCGGATCCGGGAAGAAACCTTTGGGCTCGGGGCACCGAAACTGCGCCAAGGTCACGCCACTGATCAACAAAATCGAGGAGAACGCTCGAGCCAACATGGTCCTTCTATCTTTCCTTCTCCTTCTTTTTCTCGATCCTTTGATCGGCCGAAGACACTCCTCCTCTTCTTCTTCTTCTTTCTTCTGTCACGATCCGTCGACGGCACGCAGCAACGTGGGTATGAAGAGTGAGCGCAGGCCTGAAACTGGTCCTGATTCGCCACACCACCTCTGCATCCTTGCTTGCATTTCACAACCCCCACCCCCCTTTCGCCGAAACTCCTTTCTCGCTTGCTCTACTATCGCTTTTCCTCCACGGGAGTGCCCCGATATATCCACGTTTCCTCGACCAAACGTTACACGCGTTTGCTTTCCCGCCTCTCTTCTCTCATCTCTCCGCCTAGTAAACAAATATCACTGGATATGTACATATTCCTGGCTGTTCCGGGTCCGAGCAATCCCCTCCTCCACTCTTCTGTCTCTCCATGAACGCATGATGAGCTTGGATTATATATCAGGATCGATTCGGAGGAGGACCGAGAGGGATGTGTATCGCTGCAAAATTGATGATAAATTGTATCGATCTGTTGTATGTATGTCGTGGAGTAGAGAGTAATATTAAGAGTATATTTTGTTATTTGGATTCGGGAGAATTTTATAATGTTTAGAAATAAAATGAACGAACAAGAGAGTATAAAAAGTTTCTTGAACACGATTCAGATAAACAAAGCAATACGAGCTAATAGATTGAAACGACGTATCTATGTCGCTTGCCAACTATACGAGTGTTTCGAAATCTATTGACAAAAACGGTTAATTTATTTATATAGCATCGATTGTGGACCGATATTGAAACAAACGTGACAGACTTGTTTATTAGAGATGTTTAATTTTGCAATGGATAAAATTAATAATTGAAACGACGAATTGCAGAAATAAAATGAATGTTAATTATAATTACGTATATATTTATCCAAAAACAAAGGCCATAAAGTTTAACAACTTGAAAAGAATATTGAAACAAGAATAATACAGACGTAACGTTCATTCATTATTTCTTAATAACGGGTTTACGAATTGAGGTAAAACGATTGTAAAGAACGATCACCAAATTGTTTTTATCAATCGAGAATGTAGGATTTCGTGCGGATTTGTGAAATTATATTTGCGCAACGCTTTGAAAGTGTCCGTGAACGTTAATATCGTTACTTCTGTGCACACGTTCTCTTCCGGATTCTTTGAATATTTCCATATTATCTTTCCTCGACACGATCACTGTTTACAACTTTGCTTCAATTTTTTTCTGCAATTGAAAAAAATAGTTGTGATATAAGGATAAGTAATGAAATGTACGAAGGCTTGTACCTGTGGCGCCTATACGTCATTATGAAACGTAAAGAAAAGAACGTTAGACGATTTGAATAAAAATACCATTTTACTTTCTTCTTTCATCGAGCGATTGCTTTTTAAAAACAGTATCCCGTGAGTAATGGCTCGAGAAAGCAGAATAATTTCAATTCGCGCTGTAAAGTTAGCCAGAGTCACGACATGTCGGTTTACTGTTTGTGATTTATCGCGAATACGAGATGATATATGTACAGAGATGGTAGAAACGACGTTAGAAATGGCGAGTGAAGCAAGAATGATTTAGATAAATATTATGAACCGTTAATATTTTTCTTTTTAGCTAAATAAATACTTTTTTTGAAAAAGAAAAGTATTAGAAAAAAATTAATAATTGAAAGAACAGTAAATAGAAAAATTGCATGATTATAAGATGATTCGATGTAATGTAATTTATGATACTTGTAATGTCAAAGATCGATATTTTGAATACCTCTTTTGTTCGGATAAATGTGGATAGTATATTTCTAAAGATTATGCAACAATCTTTTACTTGTAATCCTTTTTTAAAAATTTTTAATCGTATGTATATAATAATTAACGATTAATAATTTATATTTATCAATTAATCAGATATATTTGCTTTAATAAATTTCTTTAAATATTATTTTCCTTTAAATATTCAAATATTGCGAAAAATTTAATTGTCTCTTGTTTCTTGAATAATTTTTTAATTCTTAAAAGCTCAAATTAAAACTTGTATTCTAAAGAAAACGTAAGTTTAATCTTGTAAAAAACTTTCAAGTCACATCATATTGACTATGCAATAAATATAGAAATACTATAGCCATCTGGCTGTAAATGGATAGAACTAATCATCTGCTGATATTAATTTTTTGATATCAACGCGCCATCTATTGATGAATAGATAGAATTAATCGTTCGCTGGTAGCAATTTTGGACATCGATGCATTATGGACATTATTTAACGACGAATAGGTGAAACTAATTGTTACAAAAGAATAAAAAAAAAGTAAAAATTTTTCAATATATAGATTTAATTATTTAAAAAGATTTAAAAATTAAAGATTAAATTCTAAGAAATAATCTGAGAATAATTTTACATATATATTTTTTTTAATTTAGTATATACGAATAATTTTATTTTATTATATAATTTTAATTTATCTACAATCTGAACTAAATTTATAAAATTATTTCTTAAATTTTGAATTTTAATTTGGCAAAAATATAGTTTACAATAGTATAGCCAAGAAATTTTAATTTTTCGATTTTGGTATTTAGCAATTAGTTCTACTTATTCGCTGCTAGATGGCTATAGTGTTTCAAATGTCCGATAATTTTACACATTTTTGAAATGTAATTATGTAAATGTAATTAGTTAATATTTCGTATAATTTATTTATAATTTTCACAAAAAATTTTAATTTTAATTTACGATTGAATAATACTAAGGTAATAATACCATTTTTAAAGACTTCGTATATTCGACAAAAAAAATACATTTGATGATAAATCTATATCATTTGCCTTGTCTGTGATATAAATATTTTTTATGATCTAATTAAAAAAGTAATAAATAACATATTTAATACAAAAATGGAAGTTCTTGAATTAAAAGATGTAAAACCAGTACCTGATATTATTCATCTTTATCCAAATAGAGTAAAATCCGAAGCAACACCGCTTGTAATCGATAATGGTAAGCACACTGTAATATATTATATAATATAAAATAAGTATAATATTAATTTATAATAATTTTTTTAGGATCATACAATTGTAGAGTTGGTTGGGCTACTGAGAAAGAACCTCAATTAGTATTTAAAAATCTAATCGCTAAACCACGCAAAGAACGTGGTAAAAAGGATGGTGAACCTCAGGTTGGAAATGATATAACTAATATTGAAGCTGTTAGATTTCAATTAAAAACACAATTTGATCGAAATGTGGTTACACATTTTGAAGCTCAAGAACAGATATTTGATTATACTTTCACCCATATGGGAATAGATACGGAAGGTGCAGTGAATCATCCTATAATTTTAACAGAAGCATTTCTTAATCCTAATTATTCAAGAAATTGTAAGTAAAATAATAATATATCTAAATATATAAAAAAAATTTGGTTTTAGTTCAAAATTTAAATTTTATAATCTTGATTTTAGTGATGGCAGAACTTTTATTTGAATGTTATAATGTACCTGCAATAGCTTATGGAGTGGATTGCTTATTTTCTTATCAGCATAATAATTGTCCGTCTGATGGTTTAATAATTAGTATTGGATATCATACTACACATATAATACCTATATTAGATGGTAAAGCAGATCCTGTAAATTCAAGAAGAATTAATGTTGGTGGATACCACATTACATCTTATATGCATAGATTGCTTCAACTTAAATATCCTGTTCATGTTAATGCTATAACACCTAGTCGAGCAGAGGTACAGAAATGATTTATATCTCAATGAAAAAATATTTGACTTTATTTTCTTCAAATAGGAGTTAATACATGAACATTCAATGATAGCTTTAAACTATCAAGAAGAAACATCTAAGTGGGCAGATCCAGATTATTATGATATGAATGTATTAAGAGTACAGTTACCTTATGTTGCTCCTGCAAATGCACCTGGTTTAACAGTTGAACAACAAAAAGAAAGAAAACGGGAATTAGCTAGAAGATTAATGGAAATCAATGCTAGAAAAAGAGAAGAAAGAGTTTGTTAATTTTTATTAATTTATATATATATAATTATTTGAATAATTAAAAAAATATATTTTTAGTTAGCAGAAGATGAAGAACAATTAAATCAATTATTAGCCGTTCAAGATTTACTAGAAGAAGGTGAAACGGATGAATTTGATCAAGCATTAAAAACTTATTCTCTCGCAAACGAAGCAGATTTAATAAAAATGATTAATAATTTGCAAGCGAAAGTAGAAAGAACTAGGCAAAAAATAGTAGCGGCTAATTCACAGGAGGAAAACATCGCAATGGAAGAACAAAAACCAAAAATAAAATCGAGTCTACAACCTAAAGATCAACAAGATTTTGACGAATGGATCGCTAGTGTACGAAAGAAAAGGTACAAAGTAAACTAATTTTTTATCATCTTAACGATGTTAAATATTTTTCTTTATAGACAAGAAATATTAGAAAGACGAATGGCTAAGAGACAACGTAGACAAGATATGGCAAAACGTAGAACAGCAGCCGCACAGGAAAGAATGCGTATAATAAGCCAATTAGCAAGAAAAGAAAAACGCGATGATGATTTTGGTATGAGAGACGAAGATTGGGATGTTTATAAAGTTATAAATAGGGTTCGTATAGATGTAAAATATTTTTTTTTCAACTTTAAATATATTTCGAAATTCTATTATGTTTCTAAATTTTATATTTTTTACGTAGGAAGGTGGAGACTCAGATTCAGAAGTAGAACAAGAAAAACTTATGGAATTGGAAGATGTGTTACGACATCATGATCCAGAATTTGACGGCGCTGGATCTAATGTCCCTATGGTTCCTGGAGAAACTCATCAATTACACGTGGGAGTAGAACGTTTGAGAGCACCAGAAATATTATTTCAACCATCTATGATAGGTTCCGTAGAAGCAGGCATTGCAGAAACAATCGAATTCGTTTTGAAACTTTATCCACCCGAACTGCAATCACGACTCGTAGGAAATATATTTCTTACTGGAGGGCCAACGAAATTTCCTGGTTTACTTGAGAGATTGAATCGAGAACTTCGTGAAATGCGACCATTTGGATCAAATTTTCAAATAAATATCGCAAAAAATACCAGCATAGACGCATGGTATGGGGCAAGAGATTTTGGTCTAAATGGAAATCTTCCTGAATTTTTAGTAAGCAAAAAAGAATACGAAGAAAAAGGTGGTGAATATTTTAAAGAACATTCGACGAGTAATACTTACACTCGATCTCCTGATCCTTTACCTACAGTACAGACTCCTGTAACATCAGAGCAAGTGATAGTAGAAGATGCTGTTGTAGACGTTGAAATGGAATAAAAAAAAAAAAGAGTTTTATATTAATTATTATAGAATAAAATTTATTTAAACATAAGATTCGTAGTCGATCGTTTTTCCTTTCTTTTTGGAAAGTGAAAAGAATAAAGAATACGATATTTTTTGTTATGGATATCTACTTTATTACACAAGTGTTTCTGTTTGTTCATTCAATCACGAACAAACTACATTGTAGTCTGTTTGCTGATCACAATGTACAGTTCCAATCAATCATCGCCATTTCATCGTCATTCAAAGATAATTATGCGGATACATTCTGGTTTTTTTTTTTTTTATTTATCGAGAATAGTCGACATTCGCTTATTTCTTGGCATTCGTCGAATAAGCTAAAAAACTGAGAAAGTGATCCATCATCTCAGCAATAGGATTTACTACAGCGACCTCGAAAAATTCTCCCACATCTTTATTCATAGCTTAAGTTAACATCACAATACAATTATTATATATATATATATATATATTGAAAAAATATTACGAAGCCCTATAGGCAATTATATTACAGCTAATTATAAGTGATTCTTTTGTGTTTCTAATAAAGGAACATACCGTATGTAAACTTATGTTCGTTTTGAACTTTTCACACGTCATAACATAAGAAAAGGAGAAACGATTGGATTAGTTTTTTCTTAAATTAAAAAAAAAAAAAAAATACATGATCACAAGCGCACAGCGTTTGTTACATGTATATGTTTAAAGCATTCAATGATATTTGTTACATTTTTATTTTTACGTACTCTGTGGCTACACTTTCGTCTCTTATCACATACAATTACAGATAAATTTCAAAGTATATATCTTATTGTGTAACATATATAATAAATAATATTTTGTTTGAATTTTTGTTAAGAGAACGCAACGGATCAGTGAATTTTTATAAAGACAAAATTTTAAGTTAAAAATAATATGTATTGCACTATTTAGCATAAAATATTACAAAAATGGAATTTATAAAAATGACTTGATTATTATCGATTGAAACTGCACGCAGCATTTTATCAAATTATCCGTTTTTTCTCTTTTTCTTTGAGCTCGATTCTAGGCACAAGAGTCTTCCTAACAAAAGTCCAATTGCAACGTGTACAAACAAACATATCGAAACTATAATTGATCGATGCTCTCTACATATTTCACATAATACACCGGATACTTAATTTAAATAATATCCTTTGTAACTATCACAGGCTGAGGTCGCTGCAGTTTTAACAATACTTGTTAATTAATAAAAATAATGATTAATAATGAAAAGCATTTTGATCCGATTGTTGAATTCTTCAATATGTCTAATAAACAGTGGAAGGATAGAAAAAAGTGTACGGAGAACTACTGTCTACTTTTCAATTTTTTTCATTTTTCTTCGTTTTCCCGGTTTTCATACTTTCTTCGTCGTTCAATGGTAGTATCAATAAAAGTGAGGTAGAATCCAATCTGTGAAGAAAGTGAAAATACAATTTTTCTATCTTCCTTAGCTAAGAGTGAGGATCTACTTTCGCAAATGATAATATCGTATGCTAATTAAAATTACACGCGGCCTTGACATATTCTTATCGCGATAATCATATAAAGTAGCGATGATAATAATAATAATAATAATAATAAGAATAATAATAATAATATTAATAATAATTACAATTGTTTACGATAAAATAATTATAATTATAATAATAATAAAGACAATAATATTTCAAAATAATCATTAGTACAACAATGATTAATGTTTTGCAATATAATGGCTTTATGTATTTATATATATATAGAGATTTATTTATATATTTATATATTTATATAGTTGCATGGTGGGGCAGAGGGTAAGTGACAGCTATGTACAGTACATACTTGCCTTAGTTGTACCATCGTTACGTTTATACGTATTTATATTCTCGATAATCATAATCGTAATGATACGATAATTAATCAAGAACCGTAATAAACAATAATAATCTGTGACAATCAATAATAATAATTAATAATAATGATATTATCGTCATTTTTATTCGTAAAATACCCTATACTCTCGTGTAGTAATCGTGTGGTGGTATCATAATAAGAACTAGTATGCAGTATGTACGTAAAGAGGATGTGTTCAACCAGGATATGTCGGTGAAAACTATGGTGTATCAAGCGTCAACTCTTTTTTTCTTCTTTATATTTATATATCTAATATATGTGATATATATATCATATATATATATCATTCACTATCATTTATCGCTTTTTTCGTTTTTATTTCTCAAAACTACTATTACAAAAGTGCGTACTCTCGTCTTATATTTTATAGGTACATACATGTATCGGCGTAACCTATCTACTTGTTCATTGTCCTTTATATTAGATCTGTTAGCTTTAAATTATTCTCTTCGATTAGACAAGATGCGTCAAAAGTAGTGCTGCTATTAGAAACTAAATCATATTTTCTGTGTAAAAATAAGCAATATCATGGAGCAAATTTGTTTCGTGTTACACATTTTACATAATTCGAAGAAATCGTGTAATATCGTAAAATACGTGCCTCTTTTAATAAATTAATAATCGATTTCTTTCGACAAATATTTTTTTCACATTCAATTGTTTCGTCATTCATTTAAAATTTTGATTATTCGAATTTTCAAATTTTAATAAAAATTTTAATGCTCCTAATAAAAACATAACCTTATACTGTTAGAAAAAAAATATATTTACCTATACTTTTCATGCACTTGTTTTACAATACACATTTCATTTCTTGAAAACTAATTATATGCATATTTTACAATATTGAAAGTTCATTTTCTTGATAAGACTTTGGACCGAAGAAAACTTGCTCCATGGCACAGTCGACCTACTTTTTGACAGAAAAATAATTCTATAACCGGTTGCAGCACAATTTTCGCCGCAGCCTGCGTGCTTTCCTTAAATGGAGCACTACATAATCCTTTTATTTAACATTTCACGCACACTCATACGCACACAAATTTTTCAAATATGCAAATTCACTCGTACACATACATACATACACACGCGCGTATTTTTGTTATATATAATATACATATATATGACATGGTACTTTCTACGCATCGACGGTATGTATATAGGTATATCTTATCTTTATCGTCGTGTCGCATCAGAATCTTTTGTTCCTTTGATGAATCGATCATCTAATTTCTTTTTTTGTTATTAACTTCCTGCTTTCTCCTTTCTTCTCTTTAATTCATTTTCTTTCTCTTCGAATCGTACAATCTTGTTTCCTCTTTTTTTTTTTGCCGAGGACAACGCGAAACGACACACCGCGAGAATCCAATAAATTAATCCCCATTTTTTTCTCTTCTTCCTCTTTTTTTTTTTTTGTTTCTAAAAAAAGTTCATTGACACGCAATTCAGAACTTGCTTTTTATTTCTTGATCTCTCCTTAATCAAAGCTTTTTAGGCACCGTTCAAGACTCGACCTGAGGAAAAATATCAGCAATAAAAAATCTTACGTCTGTATATAGTACTTACGCTCTAACGAGCCAATCAATCTTTCCCCTTTTTATTTTCTTCCTTTTTTTTTTTACTTTTTCTTTATTTTTTTTTTCTTCTCTCTCTCTCCTTTTTTCTTTGATTTAGTAAATCCCCAGGTTTATTGCAGACCATACAAGTATTGATTTTGACCATTGTATGTGTACATGAGTTCTGTATAACTTTTATATTGTTTGTGATAAATCGAATTTCGATTGTTTCTATTGATTAAAAATCATTATCCAAACAAAAAACAATGGAATAATTCCAATAAAATTGGGGAAGACGTTAGAAACGGAGATCTCTGAAATATCGCAAGGCGAAACGCGCGAGAAGTTAGTTGAAGATAGCAAACTCGTTTATAAAAATATCGATACGCTTCGAACGAAACATCGTTTGCAATACTGCTCGACAAGAGAGAGGTTAACTTCTTTTCGAAGTTTTTCGCGCGTATCGCATATTCGCGATTTTCTTTGACTCGATAGCTCTATAATTTAATTATTTATTACGTTATAATGGCATCAAGGTATGTATTCTATATATATATTAGCTTTAATGTGATTTGATCTTGTTTGATTAGAAAATTGTACCACTTGTTCGTGACAAGTCTCTTGAAACGATCTTTACTTTTCAACTTGAAAAAAAAAAAAAACAATATCGAGTCATGAATTAATCTTTCGCGAAGAATATACTTTTAAAAATGAAAAGATAATATTATAGAAAAATATTGAAAATATATTTTATCAATATATATATATATATATATATATATACGGCCTTATTATGTTTTTTTTCCATTTTTTATCTTGAAATATCTTAAAATTATCACGTGACACGCGTCAAGAGGCTTGTTCGGAAGTTTCATCCGGGATTAATTTCACGAAAAGCAGTAATTAGCGGAAGAAATATTGCGTGTTACTTTCTACGTTGTACCGCCTCTACGATAATCGATCGTTAACGGGTAAAAAAATGAATATTCAGGATCGGCGAAATTATCGTCGATGCGGTAAAAATCGCCTTATGTCTCACGTAAGAAAGAAATATCTCTATTTTATATTCCTTTCTTTTATTGCTCTGTATTTTCCCCATTTTCTAAAATATATGCATCGAACTACAACAAATTTTTATCCTAATGAAGATTTCGTGGCGTTAAAATACGGATTGCTTGTGCTTGATTCCTGATGACGTTCCTCTAAAGAAGCATTGCTCCGGGTGCTTTGGTTGCACGTACGTATAAATCTCGTAATAAAAGAAACGTGTGTGAAAACGTGTGTCGTCGAACGAAAGTCGAAAATAAAAGCCAGTACTGGAAGTGCGTGTCCTTTTTTCTTTTCTTTTCAATTCATCGAAAATCCATCCAAGTGACTTTTATCAATAATATTCTCGCATCTCGTGGAATCCGCTATGAAAAATCCTACACTATTTTATTTTTCGCAGGCCTCTATAAGACTTACTGGTAGCACGGTAAACCTCTATAAAAATAATAGCTATCCTACGTAAACGTATTACAAAAATAAATGGCATTGTACTCTGCTAAAGAAGCAAAATGGTACAGGCGCAATGTCGAGCGACGCGAGCATCGTTTTTTTTTTTTTTTTTTTTTTTTAATTCGTATTTTCTCTTTTCTTTATTCTTCTTCTCCTCCTCCTTCTCCTTCCCCACCCCTACTCCCTTCGCGCTCTCGATTCTCTTTCCTCTTTATCGTCTTATCGTCGTCGTAACCCTCCTTCTCTTTTTTTTTTTAACGTGGAAAAAAAAAAAAAAAAAAGGAAAAAGAAGAAAAAAGGTAGGATCAGCCTCGATAATAAATCGAGATTGATTTCCTCCCCCTCCCTCCCTCCTTATTAAATTCGTACACCACCACCCTCGTGATCCTTATCAACGGAACCACCACCCCTCCTCCGCTCTTCGCTGATTAATCCACCCCCTGATCCCTCCACACTCCTCCACCACCCTCGACCATCTACCAACGACCCACGAAAGTCGATTTAATTACATCACGCGCTGCTCGTACCAGGAGACGAGCGAGAGTATTAAACGTCCGAGCCAGGGCTATGCGGAACGGAGTATCACAAATGTGTAGGGCCGATCAGCCAGCACGATAAAGCACCCAAAGGGTTGAAAGTCGGACCAGGAACTGTTTCGAGCCTCGAGCCGGATTATCCGCACGGAATCGACCAACATGAAAGAAGACGATGGGTATTTTTTTGCAAACCTAAAAATATTCAACAATTTTGCAATTAATTCCGATTTGAACGTTCGATATTTTTTTTTTTAATAAAAAGATGCGATTGAATTAAATTTTTCGATATTGTTCGATTGTATTATTGAGTAGTATTTCTTCTTTTTTTTTTTATGTATTTTGTAGGTACATGGAAATGCGTAATATTATAAGAATAACAAGTTGGAATTTTATTTGATGTTTTTATTTTTCCTTTTTTTTTTCCCTTTCATTTTTTTTTTCTTGGGGAGGACTAGAATTTATTAATTTCATTCAATAACGAAAGACAAAAATTACAAGAGTGGATTATGAGATCGTATTTAAATCACTCGATGAATATAACTTTCGATGAAAGTAT